TCACCATCAGTCAATTGCAAAAGGCAGCTTTACTTGGAACAACTTATATCCTGCAATGATACCTTTAACACCATCGAACCATCAAACATCATCTGCCTATTCCAGGTCCTTTGGAAGAACTTGATAGGTGGATGAAAATGCCAAATCCAATCTAAACATTTGGTTGATTATGTGACCAACCATAATAATAAGATTGCATCATATTACACTGTAACAATTTCTAGAGAGATAATCTTTCACAGCAGAAAGAACCAAGTCTGGTGACATCTTAAAGACTCGCCAGTTGATTATCACCTAAGATTTCATGAGTCTGAGTTGATCCATAAAAAATTAGCACAAAAATAAATGGGTTACACTTTAAGATATCACAATATACTTTGCTATTTTATCACACATGCAGCAAGAATTTAAAGAAGATAATAACATAAATCATTTGCATAAATCAGAAAACCTTTCTCTTACCAAATTCACAGAGAAGCCCAAAATATCCAGGTGGGCAATGGCACATAGTAACATTTCCATCCAGACACTTTCCTCCATTTCGACACTCACAGTCTTCTGAGAGTTCTGCAAAAAGTCAAAGGAGGGAGAGGAAATGTTGAGCAAGGCTAATTAGACTCATCTGAGCTGGCAAATCTGAGACCTTCATTAATCTACATCCATTCAGTAACCAAAGCAGCATGGTTCACCCTGCTGTGAGGAAGGATCAGAATTAGGTTTGGCTACAAATGTTGTGGTGAAGAACTTTGACTTCCTTTTCTTGTAACATCAGTTATTTTCCTTAATTAATACCCAAGCAATGGCAAATTACAAGCCAGCTGTGCTCCCTGCTGAAGACATCACACTTCACCTATTAAATGCTCCCTTGTGGTGATATCTGTACTTGGTTCAACAACTCTAATGAGCCTTATTGCTTATTTTTTTAAGACAATATCTCAGACAGTATTCCTATTCTCTTCCTAGAGGATGGCATGAGCCAGTATTAACTGCCTGTAAGTTTAAGAGCGGGAAAAGCTTAATGGGGATAAATGGGGTGAACAGAAGATACAATGGGAGAATGATGGAAACTAATTCTCCAGAAACTGGAGGAAAAAATGGTCCGGGATAATATGCTTTAAGATTGCCTAGAAGTATTAGCATGTTAAAGCTTAACAACACATTGATGGGAGCTGATTCTGTTCTCAGTGTAGCAATGACAGGCAGCCATATGTGGTGCTGAAAGCCCGTGTATTTATATCACCCAGAGTTTCCTCCAACTGCACCACCAATTTTAATATTGCCATTACTGAAAATCAGTGATACAATTTCCTAACATTTTTAGGCAGAAATGCAGGAAGAAAAATATTTAAGGGTTAAAATAAACTTTACATTGTTAAATAAAAACCTCAAACTCCCCCAAATACAACATCAGTGAAAAGTTGCAGTCCTGCCTACAGACAGCCTTTCATCACTGTCCTGTCCCCTGTGCCAGGCCTGGCTACCAAAACTTGCTAGAATCCTTTAAATCAGTGTTTCTCAATCTGAGCAACTTTAAGACCTGTGGACTTCAATTCCCAGAATTCCTCAGCCAGCATGCTTCTGGGAATTGAAGTCCACAGGTCTTAAAGTCATTTGGATTGAGAAACACAGCTCTAACTGTTTGCAATACACTGAATGTACAGAGATCAGGCTTTCTTTTCGTTTTATGTTGTTCTCACATTTGGCTTTTAATTCTCATTCTGAAATGATTAATGCCACAAATCTGCAAATCTTTTGAAATAAACTGGACACGGGAAAAACATCACAAACCTCTTTATTCTGAAAATTGTGAGGATGGAGTTCAAGCAAGGAGGTATGATGGCCATGACATATACTTAAAATAGTAGTTACTGTGCCACATATCTAACTTTGAGGTGGCTTCACTATCTCCCATATCATCAGTACCACCACATGTAAAAGCCCACATCAATCCCATTTTTATTTTGCTAGTTATGTCAATGTTTTCCTTTGCAAATTCCTGATAGAATCTTATTGTTATTACTGATAAATCTAAAAGAACTCGGAATTTAATGTGGTTGGAGAAGATGTTAGTAGTAATTCTTCCACAGAGCTAAAACCAGTTCAGACAGAATCACTTTGGAAAAGAAAACAAATGAAAAATCATTTGTTCTCTATGAACTGCTCAACTGGACTGCAGTTCCCCATACCCAATTTGGAAATAAATGTATACATGCATGAAGTTCAAGGAGGACATAAACATTTTTGTTTAACGGGTTTGACTCCAAAACTTACTATCTCTGCAATCAGTGCCTGTGTATCCCTCTGCACATTCACACATATAACCTTGACTGCTTTCAAGGCATGTGCCCTCATTCTGGCATGGATTGGAGCTACAGGCATTAGACATTCTGGGGCCACCTAGAAAACATCAGTGAAGATTTATGACAATAAAAACTAATACAAACTAAAAAAATAATAAAAGAATAAAAGGAAAAAATAGAAGGCATAGAAAAGAAAAAAAAGAAAAAAAGAAGGAAAAATAGGAAAGAAAGAAAAAATAAGGATACAGTAAATTAAAAAGAAAAGAAATATATAAAGAAGTGACTTCCCCCTTCATCACAATAAGTACAAACAATTTTAGTAACTTATCAAAGTAACCTTTATATAACCTTATATATAAAGGTTTTATATACATAACCTTTAGTAACCTTGATCAAATAAACCAACTTTATATTCCTTCCTTTTACTTCTAACAATATTGATCTTTAGTCCCTTCAAACAATGTAGAACTTGAGTTTTTTCATTTTTTCTACTCACCGGTTCTTCATTCCGCCATGGTCATCAGCTCCACTTTTTGCAGAGTGTCTTCAGTTTGCCATTTCTTCTCTGGAAATGACCTTTTTAGTTGTCATAACCAGATCATAGAGCTCAGCCACTCATTATGGTTTAATTGTTCTGTTTTAAATATTTTGCCCTTTTATATATTCTATTGATTGATGGTGTTTTAATAGTTTTGTAGGTAAATGCTCACTAGTTTAATGTTGATTGGAATTATATCTTTTTAAGATTTTAAGAGCTGAAATAAGAAATTTATAGTCTGGATGCCAGCATTCTTTACTACCAGCCAAGGTGGCAAAGACCGCTGGTAGCTCAGTAACTTCTGGAGGATGACAGGTTTCTCATTCCTGATAAAAATTCTTTTTAAAATGATCAAATAACATATGCCTAATTATACAAGTTCAAAGAGGACTAAGAACATCAGGAGTGATATACAGTAAGCATACATAGGGAGACTCCTCCCAAAAACACACTTCCATATGGCAATGAGGTCTTGAAATAGCTCACCTTGTACTGATGTCATTTAAGGCTACTTCAATGCTTCATTAAAAACTAGAAGCTGGAGGTAAGGGCAATGAATTCTTTTATGTAAGGTTTAAGTAAAATGACTAGTTCAGTCTAAGCATGGATCCAGGCAAGCACATCTGGAGTGGGATTAACCACTGCTGATAGTCACTTAGCCCCAGTCAACTTGGCCCTCTGGTCAAAACAAGCTCCCTATCCTTGAGCTGTAATGTTTAATGAATAAGCAGGAGAAGTTGAATGATGGAACACAATTGTCAATACCCAAAACTAAAGTAAAAAGAAGCTGAACAACTTGAATGTCAAACACAACCAGTTATTAGATTAAATAAATTAGTAGAAAGCTTTCTGCATGAGCAGGATGTGCAGGGCCACAGTTGAACTACACATTTTTTCCCTTTTGGAGACAAATATATTCACCATATTGGCAGTTGTTCCCATAGTAGCCTGGTGAGCATGTGCAGACATAGCGCCCTGGGCGGATATAGTTGCACATCTGCCGGTTCCTGCAGCTCCTGCCCTCACAGGCTGAAGGATCTAGAATGAAGAAGAGGAGGGAGCCTCAGCACAGCTCAATGCAGCTGAACAATTGAATGTAACACATACAAGGATGGGTCTAAGCTGAGGGACTGAAAGAATCAAAGAAATAAAAAGAACAAGAGAGACTGGCTTTGCAGGAAGAAGGATACCACCACCCAGGTATGAAATCAGGGCACCTATTTCACAGCGCTGTCCAGTAAACGGTGTTGCACAGACACAAGTAAAGTTGTTCACAAGGTCCATACATTGCCCACCATTCAGACATGGGCTCGACTCACATTCATTTATTTCTGCAGAGAAAAGAAAGAGAACAAAGATATTAAGTATGAAAAGAGATTGCAATCTTCATTATGTATAAAACTATACTGCACAAGCACTATAAGAGCTGTTATTCATAAATAGGGAATTAATTGATTAAATAAATGGAAATACTTGTTCACATAGCATAGAAATAAACAATGCAATTGCCATCAGAAGAACAGCGGATTAAAAGCAGATTACATTAACTACATGTGCTTATTTTTAGCTCACCTATTTCACATTCTTCTCCAGTATAACCTGGCTGGCAAAGGCAGACAGCCGTTCTGTTTGCTATCTGGCACTCCCCACCATTCTGGCATTCTTTGGTTTCACACGGAGACTCCTCTATTACATTTCAGCAAAAGAAAGGAAAATTAAATTAGGACATTAAGATATTGCTGTTCTGTTGACAAAACCATATAAGCTATAGAATCTCGCAGCTTCTGAATATGTACACAGACCAGCTGTTGAAGTTAGCATTGTTCCTTGTTTAATGGAACTTAAGTAGATTGTAATGAGAAATTATATGGAAGGGAAATATGGGAAGTTCCAAAGTAGTTGTGCCCAACTGCCTTATCTGGGGCACATGTTTCCATTTCATCTCTTTGGTCATCCTAGCTGGGAATTCTGAGAAGTGAAATCCAACACCTCTGGAGATACCATGTTGGTAAAGCATATTCTTTCCTAAAATTAAAATAATTTCAATAAAGAAGTTCTGGTACAACTCTGTCTTTATATGTGTTAACCTGCTTTTCTGTTCAAGCAAGCACTCAAGGCAGCTAAAAAAATTTAAAACACAATACAAAAAATTAAATGCTAAATACTATTAATATTAAAATCATAATCACACTTTCTGCTTAGATTTGCTATTGGATTTTGTCTTTGCTCTTACACAATATTTCTCACCAATTTCACATGTAGCTCCTTTAAATCCTGGTGGACACCAACAGCTGAAACTGTTGATGCCACTGATACAAGATGCTTTATTACGACATGGATTGGAAGCACACTCATCCACATCTGGAAGAGAAAATGAGAGATGTTATGGATTAGGATATGCTCAGATACTCAATTCCCCTTTCCTCAGGGGAGAAAAAAGTCATCTATAGAATGCCATGTGGAATAAACCAAACAGCTGTGTGGGGTCTAATTCATTACTGTAGTGGTACAGTTGAATGCAGCTCCTCCATACAATTGTGCATGACAGATGAACAAGACTCACCAATTTGGCATTGTTTTCCAGTGAAGCCAGCGAGACAAGAGCAAGTGTATGAAGGATTCCCTGTGATGCAGTCTTCAATACATTTTCCTCCATTCAAGCAAGGGCGAAGCGTCAAACACACTGAAGCTGCGTGAAGGAATAAACCCACTATTCAGTAGCTGGTAGCATGGTCAGAGAGCTGTTAGATGGTGCGTCAACAAGAGCACCAGTCACTCCTAGTAAGATGGGCAGTGACCAAATTTGAAATATAAATAAATAAATAAAATCCAACTTCCTTTGTCCTTGTGGTTTATTCTCTATAATTAACTCAGATGGCCAATGTAACAGAAGTGTCACATTTGTTTTAAAACCACACAATGTAACTTACTTCATCCACATATAAATTGGATTGGAATTTACAATAAATAGACATATTATTTAAAAATTAGTTTAAATACAGAACGTTGGTTGCTACTGCTGCCCCTCCCCCGGTTGTCCATGTCAGTACTTTTATGATCTGTCTAGGACTTATACAATCTTTTTGAAAATCAAGATTATGAAATTAATATCCTTGATATATCAATGTTCAGTCTTTTATAAAGTTAAAATTTAATAATAATCTTATTAAATCATTTTTACAGGAAAATAATTTTGATCAGTTCTATAATCTTCATGCTTCTACCTGGCATCTCTTTGCCTTTTGTTATATTGCAATTCTTTTATGACAATCCCAAGAGTTAAGAACTGCATCAATACCAACAAAATTCTATTACCAAAGAATTTTGCCAACATTAAGAATTATGTCTTCAAGGAAAAAAGAGAGGCAGGGAAAATCAGCTATTGAATCTATAGAATTTCTAAGTTTGGAAGCTGGGGGGGGGGGACGGGGGAGAAGAAAGAACAATAGCCTAGAGAGCTCCAGAGAAGAATATACCCCAGGATGTCTAGATAAATTTAAATTATGAAGAGTCAGAAGAGAATTCTTAAGGAGCCAAAGATTGGGTAAAGTCTAAATGCATGTTATTTGAAAATCATGCAGACAATGCAAAACTGATGGCCACAGATGGCTGAGAAGTTTCAATTTTTTGAACAAACCCACAGCATTACAGAAGAATAAGACCTGGTGGATAGCTCTTAGTGATGGTCTTAGCCAATCCCTGGGGGAGGTTTAATTTTACTTCCCATATGGATTTGCAAACACATTTACTAGTGACCTCAGAGCCCCACATATTAAAAGTTTGCAATTAAACCTGGGATGCAATCTAATACATCCATTTGGTACCCTCCTGGGGCACTGGGACTGCAATTTCCATAATTCCAGCTATCTGGGAAAGCTAGTTAAGCTTGCTGGATTATCTGGGAGCTGCAGTCATATCAGATTTGGGACATCAGACTGGGGAAAACTGGTATACATTTGGGACTGAGTCCCACCAAATGTGATTGAATTAACTTAAGAAAACATTATGGACTTATACTTGTAATCTATATATGAAATTAATTTACAGTTTAAGAGTCTTAAGTCTTTTTCTAAACACTAATAGCTTTGGGATGTAATGACTAATGAGAAGACTTGGGTTCTAATTACCATGAAGCTCACTAGGTAATTTGGGGCCAATGCTATCTCTCAGTACAGCAGAAGAAGAAAGCACTATAGATGCCACTTTTAGCTCATGGTTGAGATGAATGTCATGATACGAAGTGTAACAAATAGAGTATTGACTAAGAAGAAACTAGCTTCCCCCTACCTCCCAAATAATTCATTGTTAAAATGAATCGTCTAGGATTAGCTTTGAGTACAGTAAAGGGACAAATGAGTTTGTTCTATCTCACTGCGCCTTTTATGGGGAAACGTGGAATCATCTTAATTTCAGGGTCTTCTTCTTTTCATATACTTCCTGCTTTTCTCAGACATATTCTGTTTATGTCTTATTTTCACTTGTTTCATTCTCAGAAATAATTAAAGAGTTCTTAACCAACCAGAACAGATCTACAGCCACCAAGGGATTCAGTCTGAGTAGCATACCATAACCCCAAAATTTATAACTTGCATCAGTGCATCCCATATCTTGCTCACCATATTTAGTATATTGCATTCATGTAGCAACTCAGCAAAGTATTCAGAGGTTCACGTGCCACCCACAAATTGCTCCTATTGCATGGCTGCTGCCTTTCATAGAACTAGAATTTTCACAGGGACAAAGAGAAGGGCTGGAAGAATTGGTTTCATTAAATAAACCTAACTGCTGTCCTCTTACTTGTGTTGTTGCAGCCCCCCACTTGCACCTGGGCATCATCGATTCTGAATACCCAGCGCCCGGGGATACCCACATTTGTCGTCATCTCCACGTCGACAATGTCATCAGTGCGGGATCCGGGGATGTTAAAATACCGTTTTCCATCACCGGCATTGAAACCTGCCTAGGAAGACAAGGGCAGAGACTGAAACCTCTTGCTGGGGAAAGCAGGGCAGCTGTGGGGAAATGCAAGGGACTTCTCTCTTCCACCATGCCCAGTGCCCTGCAGAGGAATGGACTGCAAGAACATAAGAAAGGGAAGCATCCAATTTCCCTGAATGTTGCTTCATGTTTGTGCTTCCCATCTAAATAGCTTTTGTTCTGCATAGGAGACATTAGTGACCTCAGCAATACAACTCCTCTGATCCCTCAATGGAGATAACAGTTTGCTCTTCTAGAAGTTTTCCTCTGACAGATTCCTTCCAAGAAGTAGTCATGTGATTTCAGTGGAAGATCACATGTTGTGTATATGGAGGATTCCCTGAATCTACAGATTGGGCTGGGAAGGGCTCTGGTCTGGAATCCTGAAACGTGATTGCCAGCATTAACAAAACTCAGCAAGATGGACCAATGATCTCACTTGATATATGGCAGCTTCATTTGTTCCTAGGTTAACTTCAGTTTCTGGATGTCTTAAACATTCAATTCCCAGGGCTAGATTCTGATGAAACATGTTACATGAACTTAGATGTTCTTGGTCTTGTCAGTGGCTAGATGGGAGACCCCATGGAAACCCAGTATATATCACTTTGATTTCCACAAGGAAAAAGGGGATATAAGTGTAATAAATATAGCCAGAAAGTAGCTTTTTGAGTCTCCTTGTAAGCCAGGAGCCTAGACTCCTGGGAGAAGAATTCTCTCCCGGCAGTCATACAGGCATCAGTCCATAAATGACTAAAACTGCTCACAATTAGCAAACATTTTTGTGGGCCACTAACATTTGGAGGCTTACTTACAAGGATATATTGAGGCAAGCATTTCTTCTCTAGGGCAACCATTTATTTGGACCACAGTTCCAGCTGCTTCAGGATAGACCAGTAGAAAATCAGCAGCCTATAGCCTAGAAGCCATCCCCTACTGTTTTGAATGTCATCTGTGATTAAAGACTTTGGCTACAACACATGCTAAACTGTCAAGCACTAAAGGGAAAAAAGGAGGCGGGAGGAAAAGAGGGAGTTCAGATGGTCTACTTATTGTAACTCTTCTCCCAAATGGCTTTTGGCACCATAAGGCCCCAGCAATCCCCACACATCCATGACTCACCAGCTGGAAAGCACACAAAACACTGAGCCTATTTTCATCCCCATTCATCTATACAGGGTGAATCCAAGAGAATCTTGGACTCTCTTGCTGCTTTCCACAAAATGAGCACAGCTCTGCTAGCTCAAGCCAAGCAGCAGCCTCTGCCATGCTGAGCTGCGAGGTGCTTGTGCCGAGCCACTCCATCGTCTTGTGAGTTACAGCAGCAAGTTCTCGCAAATTTGGTCAAAAGCCAGGGGCTGGTGAAAAACTTTTCAACTTCCTCTCTCTCCCTCTTTGGCTGAGCCAGGGCAGGGTGTTCCTAAAGCACTGTACAGTATCCAAAGCATGTGGTTACTGCTCTGTTTACAATCATAAAAGTCTACACTCCTGAATTTCTGGGACTGAAAATGGATTAATTTCCTTTACACCTGCAATTTCCTGCTTACTGGAGACAACTCAGATGAGTGCCAGCAGCTGGCCAAGCATAGATCAATTAATGGTAAATCCACACATCTGAACAGCCACCCATTAAAAGAAAGAAAGCAACACATCAGGATGAAATATAAATGCCAAGGGAAAGCTGTGCTTGCTGCAGTCATTGCTGGATGGCTCTTTTAAAAAGTTGGTGGCTAATGAAGGGAAGGAACTCAGAAGCACTGGCCAAAGTAAAGAGCTGCAGTTTCCTACAATAAAGGTCCTATATAGTCTTAGCTCTGAAGGGATGGGAAAAAAATAGGTTTATTATTTAAGAAGTTGGGGCTGAGGATTATCTTGGTATTTCACGGTCATATCAGATCATCATCATCATCCTCAGCTGCCTCCAAGAATGTATGGCATGTATTAGAAAGAAGACTTGCTTGAATATGATCATGTAGTCTACCTGGGCTGCTATGCCTCCCAGGCCTGCTAAATTTCCTCCGCTGCTGGCATGCATGCCAGTGGTCCAGGTGATTGACTCATAGTTGAAGATAGTGAAGGAAAGCAGGCCATCAGTGATGAGGACTATCTGGAAGGTATTTACCTACAAGAAAAAAACCATACACAGAGAGTACTAAGGAAGTCAGCAATGTCCAGAAAGTTGCAGCATTGGTTAATACCAGAGTAAAACCTTCTCAGGAAGGTCTCAATCAACACTTCTTGAGCCCATATGAGTCCTGAAGAGCTGCTTGGTAACAAGGGAGGCAGATGTCTAGATGCACTTTTAAGCAGTGATTCATGGAAAGGATATTGAACCTTTTTATTGTTTTGCTGCCTTGTGTGCCCCAATTCCTATTTTTTTAGAATGGTTTAATTTGTTTTTTTTTTCCCCTTTCTTTCATAAATGGAATGAGTCTTGTATTTTATTCTCTGATCTCTTACCGTAGGAAAGGTAGAATGCAGATGTCTGAAATAAAGATTACTCTACTGATAAGTCAACAATTTACTACACAAGCTTAATCACGGTCATATACATTCTGGGGGAAAAATACCCCCTTCTTATGCTTATTACCCATCAATCAATATTTTGGTCCTGATACTTACTGGAGAAAACAAGTTTCCTCCAAAGAAGGTGACCTTGTTCCAAGTTGCTATGAATACCCATTGGGCTGAGAACTCTGGGAATTCTGGGAAATACTGTGAGATATCCTTAGTGGCTCTCTCCAAAACAGCTTGGTCTGTGGTTTCCCGGTAATACACTTGCCCCGAACGCCGGTTATCGACATCAGCCCAGAATGCGGCAACAACACGCCGGTCATTGGAGATGGGGAAAGCCACGGGAGTGAACTGAGATACCTCTTTCAAAAAGGAGATGATTCCATTGTTGTTTACCTAGACAGAAAAAACAGAAGTTAGACATGGTAAAGAATAAAATAGTCTCAGCCATCAGAGACTAGGCATAAAACAAACTCCCTTCCTTACATGACCTTCCACCAGGAAAGACAGCAGAAACCACATAAAATTCCAGGAGGGATGTACACTGCAATACAAGTTTCAATACTTGTTATAGAAACCATGTCTTGAAATTAGGTATGTGCTCCTCCTGTCATACCTTTGAAACACAAGCATGCCATTCTCCAAGCTTTTAGACCAAAAAAAAAAAAAAAAGAAGTGCCTACAAATAGCCAAAGATCTGTTTCTGTCTTCAGAGATTCCTCTTACCACACTCCACTTGCTCACTGCATAATAGGGCTGGAAAGCCATCGCCTGAGGATCTAAGAAGGCAGGCAGAACAAACCATGCCCTGTTCTCCTGCCGGAGATGGGCCAAAGGAAGGAGGAACAGCTGAGAAAACTGCAGCAGCCAGTGATCTGAATAAACAAGGTGCAGTTCATTTGGGCCAGTCTCACCTTCAAATGCACTCAAACTTTGCATTTCCTCCATGATTTAAAGAGGCAGAAAAGTATATTTTGAAGGTCCACAGAGACAAACAGCATTTTTTGAGGACAGGTGAGACTTTTCAGTCAAACAGCATCGCTGGGGGGAACACACAAGCAGACCCATGAAATCAAGAGGCAAACCACATCACCCGTTTAGAAGCTAACCCCTTACGACCAGAGAGGCTTCTGTTTTGACACTCTTTCATTTCTTACTATTCTACATAGTTTCATCCCACTGATACATATTGATGCTTGTTGTTGATTATTAACTCAATTTATAGCAATAGCAATTTCAGCAATAGAAAAAGAAGTAAAGGAGTTATATTATGGCATTGTACCAATATCACAAATATGATTCCTATGTAAAGGAATTAAAATCACTCTTTCAGAAAATCACATCATAAACCCTCAATGGAAGACACACTAATGAAGTGAATTCTAGTCTATCTTATGCCATCATAAAGTTTTACAAAATGTTATGTTTTTCCTCTACAAAAAACACACATGTACAGAAATAGCATATTAGGGAGAAGACTGAGATGCTATCATATTCCCTAGTCTTCAGCAGGCAGAGAGCTGCTGATATAGAGAAGCATTCAGGTCTACAGAAGTAAGTGGTACAGTCTATACTATGTTATTTTCCAGGATTCATAGGCTGGCTCATATTATATGGATTTTGCTCATGTCCCAATTATCTGACTACCATAATTGTGCTGAAAAGAGTTCTTCCAACATAAATGAAGCTTCCTGTTCTTCATCCCTTCCGTGCTATATGACTTCCTACATCAAGCAGAGCAGAAGCAATTTTTCTTCCACCAACTAAGAACCTCATGCTTTTGGAGAGAATTTTTTGGAGGCCATATACAAACAGAATAAAACCTTGATTCTTTGGATCTCCATTCAGTGGACTTTGGATACAACGGATGAAAATTCATGTCAGACTTCACTTCCAAACAATGGGGAAAGTCCAGTGTGTCCAAGGAAGTCCAGGTAGCTGATATACTGAATGTCATTTGAATTAAATTACCTTAGTTGTCTAATTATATCAATGACTTTTATGTCATTTGTGTCAATCTACATCATCTGCAAAACTGATACACATGATGACAATTACATAATTATACAAATGATATAAATCTGGTTGCAATGGATGTTCACATATAACAGAAACAATCCCCTTCTCCACAAATGGCCCATTAAACTGGAGTTTTATTATATACATTCAACCTCCATTGTGAGAATGAGAGTCTGGTAGGCAGGAAGATGCACACACAAGCTTGAAGGCCCAACCACAGAGTATGTTAAGTAGAACATTTTTAATCTAGCAGCGCTAGATAATATTCTCTGTTGTTAGACCTCTAAGCCTGTAGGAGCAGCTGCCAGCTTGCCTCTGTCTTGTGCAACTTCGGGCAGTGGTTAATACAGTAATCTATATGAAATGCTGGTTAGGTACTTAGGGATGAAAAAATAAGACCAAGGACTTCCTATGTCTGATCTAAAGTTATCTCCCTAATGCATCATACTTAGCTTTAATAGCATGACTGTAATCGGTCACATGGGACTTGTGGAAAATTGAATGGAGTTCTACCTTACAGCAAAGGCTGGAGAGGGTACCTTTTGAATTTCAGATATTTACTGTGGTCAAGTTTACAGTATTACTAGTTTGGATTTGCTTTTGGTACTGTCTCGCATATTGCTGTTTTGGTTAAAGATGTGGTAATTCAAGCATATCATTGTATATGTTTGTTGTATTTCTAATCAAGCAATGAAGACGCATTAACAATGACAAGGATATCTGTACGAGGCAAAAGCAAGGTGTTATTCAGTGAACACCAATGTCTTACATGCTAACATTTTGCAAGTAATGCCTTTATAGGATAAAGCAGCCTGAGTTAGGCCATTGCCCCCCAGGAAGCCCCCTCTGACTTGGTGACTCTTTCATGTTCCATGCGTACACAAAGATCACTCAATTCTCTGGAATGAGAAGAAACCACAAAACCTCTGAACTCTAGCCTGTGCATAAAATAGCAGGAAAAATTCTGCTGGGGAAAAAAGCTGAGCCTTTGTGCATAGAAGGAATGTGGTCTGAGATGCAGGTGTGACATTTGTTGGGGGAGGAGGTTGTTTCACTCTGGTAAGCAAACTCAGAAGTCAAAAAATGCTTTGTGTATGTGCAGAGTGACCAGTCATGGGCTTGGAATCTCAGTAGAGCCTGAGAATCACATCATTGTGGGATTGAACAGGGCAAAGTAAAGGTAGGATCCAATGCCTGTGTAGATGCAAAACAGATGAAAGACATAGATTAACCGCATAATATTAGGAGTGTATGTCTTTTACTTTGGAAGATATAGGGCTCAAACAGAGAATTCATGTAATTAACAGAAGCAGTTAGAGTCAGTTGCAGTCTTCACATGATCATCTATTACAGCTATCAACCTATTAGAAAAAAACTTTCTCAGTTAAACAAGTTTTAAACAATTAAACATGATTAAACTTGAATAAAGGCATGGTACTTTTCAGTTGTGTTCAGGGATTTGAGCTCTCAGAATTCCCTGAAGCATTGTCAAAGAGCTTCTTGGTTGGGAATTACAATCTCAGCATTTTAGCAAGGCACCAGACTGATGAAAAGCCGGGTGAAATAACCAGCTCTGAAGCAAGAAACATTGTTTTTAGTCACTGCATATGTAGACTTGTGAACATCACATTTATATGAGAGAAAAGAAGTTACGCACCTATTAAAGATAATGCTTGCTGTGTTTATAATTACTTTAAAACATCAAATGTACAGGTAGTCCTCACTTAACAATCACAATAGGGACAGGAAAATTTGTCGTTAAGTGGGGTGGTTGTTAAGTGAGGCATCACTTGACCGCACCTGATTTTATGACATTTTTTGCAGAGGTTGTGAAGTGAATCGTTCAGTTCCCATTGATTTTGCTTGCCGGAAGTCAGCTGGGAAGGTCACAAATGGCAATCACGTGACCCTGGTACACTGCAACCGTCGTAAGTGCAAGCTGGTTACCAAGTGCCCAGATCACAATCATGTGACTGCAGGAGTGCTTCAATGGTCTTAAGTGCAAGTACCAGTCATAAGTAGCTTTTTTCAGCACCGTTGTAACTTTGAACGGTTGCTAAACGAACAGTAATTAAGCAGGACTACCTGTACTGCCTAATTAATTGCACATAATCTTTACTTGAAATAATTGGTTTTTTAAAGATTAATCTGTTAATATAATTGATTATTTGATAAAGTCTATAATCTTTTGCATATTTACTCAGAAATGCCAGTGAGTGATGTATTTTTCTCCTCACAAACCCCTAACTGGCATTGGATGTTGAACAATATAATAGATGAAACTATAACTAGGCTGCATAGGAACATATAAAAACAAAACAATACTTTTCAGTATGCCAGAATACTAGACTTGACTTGGTCTGATGAAGAAGAAAAAGAAGAGATAGATAAACCTCATCTGCCTAGAAAATCATGCCAGATTTTATCAAATGCCGCAAGAGAGAAGTCTTGTCCCAAGGAAAATAATTGGCATAGAAAAAACTCAATATAATTTCTGGCATTGTTCAAGAACATTAACTGGGCAGATTTAGAACATTTTACGCCTTTAAAAAATTAACAACCCTCTAGGATTAATCCAATTTCAGACTGGCACTTCAGATTTACAGTTGGAAACAAATATTACAAGAACCAACAGCCAATTGGCTTTTGTTGTTGTTTATATTAGAGAAAGAGAGAGAATTAATGGTGGGTAGAAGGGTGGAGAGTGAACAATGGACAGGGATTTAGCTGAAGGAAGAAGATCCGTTTTCAAGGAAAGCAGAGTTTTTTGTCCTTATTATTCCATGTATCATTTGTCTGTTTAACTGACCCTGCAATGCCCTAATGATGCCTGGTTTCTTTGTTCATTACTGCCCATGGCAGCTATGCCTTTCTACATCTTGCAAACTACATAAAATAGCTTCAACAATACCACTACAAATGTAGCAGGTTATCTTTAATCAGGCATTACACTTTTAACATCCCAGTCAAGTATACTTTTATATGTTTATATGTGGAATTTAAATTGTTCCTCTCTGGAATTCTGCCCAATATGCAACATTAAAGACCTATGAATAATTTATTCCAGAGAACTTCTACTAAAAATAAGTTTAGTATTTTAGTATAAGTTCAGTATAAACTGAACACATTACAGAAGACTAGTTAAGGATATTTCCAATTCTACAGACTTTTTAGCAGTATCCACCCATCTTTTATCATCCCAACTCTTCCCTTTCCACTCTGAATATTTCAAACTGGAATATTCAAATCTCACTCTGTCCTACAACTTTTTCTGTCAGTAGCAGCCGTCCTCATCCTGAGATCAGTGGACTTCTATTTCCAAGAATCTCCAGCCAATAAAAGCATTGCAGAGAATTCTGAGAGTTGGACCACACATC